ATTAGATTAGAAAATTGGAGCAAGACATACAGGTTATACAGGTAGCAGGACGGATCAGGATCATCTTGTAATCTGTCAAATATATGTTACGCGCGCGGACGGCGAGATGAAAATCTGTTTCGGACTTTACATTAAGTAATATCATCGCCAGTGGGATATGTAAAGAGAAATTAAAAATTTGTTTGTAACGGATCAACTGGGTCCGCGTAGGTTGGAGCTTTTGAGCAGGACTGCGCGACTATCAGGGATGCGCATTCGCGAACGACGATTTTTTCAATGATCGATCGAGCGATGAAAGTATATGATTGACTGAAGATTAATAGCAATTGTGTTTCTGTATACATTAACTTATAATATATATAGAATAAATTAATGTCTATAGTAACACAATTGTAATTAATTAAGATTGCTATTATACACATTAATATGTATCAATATATCGTTATATTCCTTTCATATAATTTCTTTTGCAGAATATCAAGAATACTAAAATTTACATCGGCATTCAATAACAGTATAGTAATACTAGCAATAATAATAGCAAATTTGCGTTTATTTTTGAAATTTTTGAATGTCAATTGAATATCGGTATTCGACATATAATATCGATCTAAGATTGCTTTTAGCGCATATACAGTTTTACATATAGAATAAAAGACGTATACGCGATAGGTGCACATCATTAGCCAGTAAAATTATCTTGACGTTCAGTCGTTGATTGCGAGGATATACGGAAAGGGGAAATAATTACAGAGTTCTGCGTTAATCGTCTCAATTCCTCTTATTTCGCGAAATAAACTATAGATAACATCATATAGTGTAGCGTCGCGGGTACGCGCGCGTTATGCGTACTCGCGCATTCCATTTTGTAAACGCATGTACGTACGTCTATCACAGAATAAATGTGGTCGGAAGATCCGCGACACGGTGGAGAACAACGCGCGATCGTTTCATTTCGCGCGAGGTGTATACTATCCTTTACGCAATCATCGCCACGCGTCGCGGCTATAACGCACACGCATGCACACACAGCACACACGCTCGGGAAGCTTCGAGCGCGCCAGCTTCTCCCGTTTTGCGTGAAATTACGTCGCGGCTCATTTTCCCACGCATAATCTCTTCTCCCCTATTGCGTGATCCAACCGCGATTCCACACTTTCACGCATTGAGAAAGTGCCCGGGGAGGGAAACGTCACCTCTTTCTCCTAATGCTTCAACTAATTCGAAACGCTTTGCAAACGAATTACATCGATTTCGCTTTCAGAAACAACACGTTAAGTCAAACATTGTTGAAGAAATCAACAATGTTTCAAGCTAGTATGAAATCATGTAGAATAGAACTAATATTGGGCGAATAATAATTTAGTTTCTTACAAGGAGAAAGTGTGTCCCACATTTTGCAACCCCCAAATACATCGAAAACGAAAAGCTTGTTTTTCGCAACAAAAATTTTTTTACGTTTTTTTTTTTTTATAGTATAATCAATGAAGCAATTTTGTTGATTTTATTTTATGTATAAAAGTATCGAATTGAAATGATTGAAAAAGTGATGTTTTATATATGCATGAGACATTGCATATTTTATTAAAATAATTTTAAATATTCCTCTCTCTCGTGAACATAACTGAGTTTATGAGCTTCACATTAATATTTTTACATATTCAGGATGAAAACAAATTATGTAAACACGAATATCGTGGTTCCATAAAATATTATCCACGACAATAGGTATCCTATGAAAAATGCATGCGACAAAATTTGCATGCATCAGGTATACTTTCTGTTTGGTGAGTAAACATACAACGTTTTTTCGAAATACTATTTTCGTAAATGCTTTGTTATTTGAAGTATCTGGGGGAGCTCTTTTCCGAGGCTTTCTCTTTACTATGTACCATATCATTCAACGATCTCTGTGTGTAAAGTTTACTTAACATCAATAGAACATTACATAAGTAATACATTCACGTATTCATTAAGACATTAAGATCGAGTTAGTCTAATCAATTTTTCTTCTCTCTTTCGTCGAAATTGGCACTTGTATAACGTTTTCTCGGATGCAACAGATTGATATACTAGCTTTACTACGTAGCGTCTTGCAACGCGAAATTGTCGAATTTAATGTTCTCAAGCGTAAAAAGATCAGTCTGTTGTTCTGTATCGAATCGAATCCTTTTTCGACTTTTTTAACTCGCGCACCAGGTACATACATACGTACCGGATACGCAGTTTCAAAATTTCCATCTCTGCGCGGTCTCGAGCTTTTAAGTATACAGAAGCAAATTATAAGGAATGCGTCGTAAAAATAATATCACAGGACAGCCCGAGTTATTAGTCGCGTATGTGTCTTAATTTGTTTGTATATAGAAAGTCGTCTTAAATTATACGCTTGCTTAGCACGTCACATCACGAGAGCGAGAGGAAAAGTTGGAGGAGTCTGCATGTTTCAATTATAAGAAGCTATATTTTCGTGTCCACGCGTGTAACTTTTCATTGCTTATTCCCGATCGTATTCGCGCGCCCGTGAATTGGTATCTAAATCAATAACTATAATTTTAACTATACAGTACTGTAAAAGCTGTCACAACCATGTGATGTTTATCGAACCGTCAAGTCGTACGTGCGTTACGAGCGAAAGGAGATTGGCGGGCGAGTACGAAACTTTTTAAGGACGATACGCGAACGAGATACAGCCTCTCTCCGTAAAACGCAACTTGTCCTTTCCTCCCATAATGCGCTTACACTTATTTTGCCACACGGTTAAATTATATATATCATATATATATTTATATAAAGAATACCGCCAACGTATTGGCGCGCATATACATGCGTATATAATGAATGCCGCGAACATAACGTAACAAGTCTTGTTGTTCGACGAGGCTTCTGTGTCACCGTGACGCGAAACAGCGAGTGTGTATGTGCATGACAACATACGCGCGTCAAGTCGCATATAACATATTTATATGTGAATTTCTCTCTTTCTCTCTCTCGTTTTGCCTCATCGCGTATATTCACCGATAATGCATCCCGGTTTTTCTCTAGGCCGTGTGACAGTTTCTATTATATAATACACCAACTTAGGCTCTTTATAATTTCTTATCTTAAATAGGCTTTTATATATATATATATATATATATATATATATATCTCTTTCTTTATATTCATCAAATATACGTGAACAGGTAAACACGTTTGATTCTTTTGCCTTACATGCTATATAGTATCATGCGCGATAAATACTTTCCTCTTGTATGTGGTCTTTTTCGCGTTAGTGTTTGTTTTCTGTAAAGCGTTATTCGCGAAAGGAGAAATTTACTTTTACTTGCCCTGTGTGATTGTACCATTTCCACTGTGACTTTATGTATAATATTTTGATTGCATTACAGACACTTTGACTCCTCTTTGTTTTCTGTCTGAAACTGTGTGTGTCTTGTAAATTATGGAAATACAATATAATTCCGAAATCTAAGATCTCGAGTAACTAAACTGCAAACACACGAAATCTGCAGAGCGATAATTCCAGCAAGCTAGATTTGTTCGCGATCATTATATTCATCTGTTTGATGCCATTATAAGTTTCTTCATTTTTATGTCGCAAACAATACTTGTATACTAAATTCAATCGGATAAAGAAATCTTACGTATGCATACAAAAAATATTTTTAAATACAATGTTACAAGCCCTTCTCATAAGAGATTAAAAAATGAACGGTGGTTTCTCTCTTTCTTCAACAGAAAAAAAATCCAGAACATCTTAAGTATTTAGACAAGATAAAACAAATTGAAAATATATAAATGTTTTCAAGTCGTTAATTATCGAATCATTATCATTTATAAACATTTAGATTTGTTGGTATACTTCTTATACTTTCAACATTCAATATTAGTTCCTTATCACGAAAAAATATAAACATGGTGTGCATATATGTGTATATATATATAGATATTATATGTATACGTGTGTACATATACATATATCTTCTCATTTATAAATCATTTGTCATGTTCAACATGTTTTTAAAAATATAATGAGATTTTAACTCGCGTATTCTATACGTTAGTTGTCTAGTCATAATCCTCTATAATCGATAACTATTCTTTAAAATTTTCGCACATTTCATAACCACATCAGAGATTTTTTTCTCCCATTAGACTCTTTGGAATTTCAGGACTAAATATAAGAGTCCTCTCTATTACGTACAATAATAATAATAATAATAATAATAATAATAATAATATCGGAAAGTTTAATAAGTATCTCGATTGGTACATTAAAATTCTGTCTCTCTAACGATGTGCGTCACGGAGATTTAATTAATTATCTTCAGTCGCGAATTTCAAGCTTATTGTGCACACGATTAACTTGAAAGATTACGATGTTAACTCGGTGAATTTACGTGCGACAAAGATTCATAGGTCTATACACTTTACTAAATGGAGCGAACAGAGAACGATTATATATAATATCTCTATTGCCAATTTTTTTGGATTTCTCGCCCGTAAACGGAATCCCATATTGCATTAATTTTATATTGCGATAATGCGTTTAAAATATGCTTTTCCAATTATATCGTGTCGATATCGTAAAATGGAATATTGGAGGGAATAGTATTATCCAACACAAATTAACATTAATTAAATATTAATTAAACATTCCCGATCCTCAAGGTAAACATGCAATCGCGTCCCCTTTTTTTTCTATAAGTTTACATCCCACATATTTAATATTAATGTTTGTAGAACATAAAATGTTTTCACAATGTGAGATCTATCAATTAGGAATAGAATAGTGCAATCGCAATTCCTTTTGAATCTGATTTGTAAATGGTTTGCGCGGTTTTATTTTTATTCTTTTGTATAACACACTCGACACGGTATTAGTCTCTCATTGGAATGATATATTTTTTTATAGATAAAATTCTGCTTTATCTGATCTTGTAAAAATTTTTAACCCTTTTTCCCCCGTAAGTTTGTGGTACATAGAATTTCACGTTTTGGGATTTCGTATATTGAATATATTATGTCAAAATGTGGAATATTGATTAACCAATATCAAACTTTGATTTCTTGATTTGATATACTGTTATACATATACATATGTATTATACATGCTGTTTATTTTATTTATCTCTTTTGCAATTCAAATGACGCCTGCGTTATTTGTTCCATGATATTAATCACTATACTTTCATTCGACAATTTGGTGGACTAACAACTAAAGATTTACCGTGCTCGCCCGTTAAATTTAGATCCCACGCTCGGTGTTGGTGAGGACGAAGTTGTCGGTCGACACCGTTGTCGCGCCGAGATGCAGCGTCGAATTGCTAACGCAATACGGCATTATCTTGCCGTGAAAGCAGGTACCAGATGAATTGCTGTTGATTACGATCAGCAGGAGGCCGGAGATGGCGGCCAGAATACCGGCGGTCATCAGGCCGAGTGCCGGAAGCTTCTTGGACGAGAGGATCGGTCCCTCCTCGAGCTTGAGGTAGCAGAGACCAGGTAGAACATAGGCGAGCGGCACCGCGGCTAGGATGCCGTTCAACTCGAGGACCACGCCGAGGCAGTCCGTCAACATGGAGATTAAGTATGCCAAGGTTACTATCGTCAAGGTGATTATCAGGTACTTGCGGTCCGAATTAGGCACATAAGCCTCGTGTCCCTCCAATTCGTCCGTGCCTTTGATCGCCGTCATGAATACCTGAAGCGACAATTAAATCGCGATCGTGTGATATAATTCTCGCAAATGCGATCTCGATCTGTGCTTATAACTATACGTATACGAGGATAAGCGAGGTATTACCTCGCGCGTAACGAAGCACTCGATCGGGAAGGTGAGCAGTATGGTGCCGCTGAACATGACCCTGGCGAGATTCATCAGATCGTCATCCCAGCAGTAATTCTCCATGAGATCGCCCTGAACGTACGACGTGAAGGTCGCGTAGCCGGCGATCCCGAAGGCCGCGGCGATCAAGAAAGACGTGAAGAGGGACCAGTGTGTCACCATGTCCCACTTCTGCTGGGTCGCTCTCTCAATCGAGCCGTAAATCAGGAAGGTGTTGTGATGGCACATGAAGGCGAACGCCATTATACCGACGGACGGGACGACCCCCGGGAAATTGGCGAATCTCCAGCTGTCCTTCTGACTCGGACTGCAATCAATCACGCCTATGATTACACATAGTGACTTTTTTTACAGGGGATATCAGCGAACCCTTCCCCCGCGAACTACAGACGAAATTCTCGCTTACACCATGGCGGACATCGAGTCCATCCGGATGAAGATGGCGATGAGAATGAACCCGACGCAGACTAGAGAGAGGAAGGAGATTTTCGCTAATCGCGCGACGTTCCTGTACAGACAAAGCGGGATGGTGACGCAGAGGGTCGCCAAGAGGATGACGACTTGTCGATGAGCGAGAATGTTTGTCTCGTCCATCCCTGTCACTCTTATCAGGACTTTGGTCACCGTATCACCGACGACGACGTTGTATGAAACCATTGCTGCAACGTTAATAACAGCACTTCACGCGCGTTGATTACAGGCTAATATATGATCGTTGTGAAAGTCGACGTAGATAGATAGACGTCTAAATATCACATTTATTTATTAATTGTTACTTATTAAACGTTTTGTTTCTAAATTTTCTGGAGTGAGTTTTCACTCCTGTGGAGAGAATTTTCACTCCTTTGGAGTGAATTTTCAATTCTTTTGAATGAATCTCAGTCCAAATGAATGAAAATACTGCCACTCGAATGCAGGCCGAGTGGCAGCATTTTCACTCCAGAAAATTTAGAGATAATTTTATATTTATTTTTCCAAGCTGCTAACGTACGTACCTATAAACGGATACACGAATTGCAATGCCGTGAGAATATAGAAGCCGGTACGACCGAAACTCGCTCGCATCAGGCCCTGGTAGCTCATCTCACCGCAAATGTGTCCGCTCCGCACCATGAGAATTAACGAGTAGTCGGTCAACGCCGCTACTAAAATTAACAGTGCAATGCCGAGACCGAAGCCGGCTTGATGCAGAGCGTACGGTATTCCTGAAAAATTTACATCAACAGTCGACATCATATTTCGGGTTTCGCAGAATAGAATATTCAAGAGGATTCCTTTTTTTCTCTTCTCCTTCTTTCTGACGCTAATTAGCGACGTCAGAATTACAGATGATCTTTCGTATTTACCGATGACACCGCTACCGATGATAGAATTGATGAAATTGAAACTCGCGAGCGGCAGGCTGCTGAATTTGCCGGCCTTCTCTTCCTCCTCCTCCTCCTACAATACGTCGTCGGCGTTATAGCACAAGTGCCTTTTTGCAGTGATAAGCGCGCGGAAAGGGAGCGTTAGCACGTTCAGCGTGTTTAGCGTTGTAAATGTTAATTAGACGTCACATTGCGTATTCTCTTGCTCGTACCCGTGAATATTCTACGAGCGTTCGTACATTTTGCATGCTGATGAATATTAATGGCTGCACGAGCGGGTAGCGAAAAAGCCGTTCCGCGAGAGAGGCCGGTTTCGTGTAATAAAAATACGCGGGCTGGTGTTGAATTAGCTGGCTAGGCGGTAGCGCTAAACGGTTTATACGCGAGTCACAGCCAACGGAATAATTTGGAGCGATAGCGCGAAAAGCGCGCGCAGCGGAGGAGGGCGGGCGGCGCGATAAAAAGAGCGCGCGCTTAGGCGCCTTCTCGCAAATGAGGTGGCGATAGCGCACGTGCGCTAGGTCGTATAGGCCATCGGCCGTGACAAATTGACGAATTGAGCGTCGAAAGAGTGCATCGCCCCCGTCGGCGGAGGCAACGCTTTACGCGGGACTGATCGATAGCCCAATATCAGCGAGGCTACTTGGCGAGTTTCTGCCGCATGTCAATTAATCCGCTTGTTATGTTCGCGGCGATTTGTAAGTCTATGGTTGCGTTCCGCAAAGCGCATCATGCGCAAGATTTATCTTTTTATCTTTGTTTAACATTTGGTGAACAACAAGGATACCATGATACATCATGCGCATGATGCGCTTTGCGGAACGCAGCCTATATCGCGCATAGCTTCGCAAATTGAAACGTGATGAAGCTGCCTCCGCGGCGATTAAATCGCTTCGTCGCTTCAATAATAAGGGGGGGGGGGAGGGAATGGGAACGGGCGGGGTGAAGGGAAGGGGCGAAATAGCTCATTTCTGCAGTTAATAGGTATGCAGCTCTTACCCCGACTAATCGTCTCATGTCATCGTAGGACTCTTCCGATGCGATGCTGCCGACCTGTCGAATTTCCGAAACAATGCGTCAGTCAGTAACGATAATCGCGGTGTGCGGCATGGCGCGGTTCTCGAAATCCGTATATCCGATCATTCCTCTTTTCTTCGCACGCGCATCGAGAGAAAAGAACCCCCAACGCGCTCTCCCTCCTCTCGTCCGTCGCTTGCCAACTTTCCCCTCGTGGGTGCTCGTGCACCCATACGAGTACCCTTTATTGGCAGTCCCAGACGGATGTGACAGCTCTTTGCGAAAGAAAGAACCGGCGCGGCGCGGCGGCGGCGCGGGAGAAATCACGGCGGCATTGATTGAAACGAGCGTATCGGGCGAAATGTCATCGCGGAAATTTCTCACCGCGGATGGAATTGTTAAGAGACCGCGTTTCTCCCTCTCTTTCTCTCCTCCTCCTCCTCCTCCTCCTCCCTCCCCCTCCTTCCAAGACGACGGAAACTTAACAATCTCGAAGATATCGGAGCTGGCTCGATCGCGGAGGAGAGGATCCGTAATTGCGCGTTTCTGCGGTTCGGCTCGCGCGATTACACGCCGGAGGGAATCGCGCGATGGAGATTGCGACTTTCCTGCGCTTAAAATCGCGGGATTAAGAGCGGATGGAATTAATGAGGTATAGGCGAAAGTGGCGTATACAGTGACTTTCTCGTACACCTTTTATGCCCGGCTGAAGAGGATAACTCCGGCGATTCTCCGGCGCGTCGTTCGCGAAATTGCTTTGCAAATCACGCAACGGGGTTGCTCGATAGCTGTGCGCGACGGCTATCTGCTTATATAGTGCTTGGTAGCATCCGGCGGAGATCCCGAGAGATTCGCTTGTTTTCTAAACAAAATTTTCTCTAGTACGCAAAAAGAGTATCATGCGGTAGAAATTACGTGAAGAACGTATTCTTTTTTTACACTTTGCTTTGTAGCATATGTTACTATGAAAATTGACGATTAATTATTTTTACTTCGATTAGCAGAAATTTTAATGCTCATTTATCTTGCCGAAAATAATGTAGGTACTTTAAAACGTGTCACGAACATATAACAAACTCACAATAATGATTTGCACCAACAATTGATTTTTTACTACGTCTAAAAAAAATCGATATTATAGTTACATTTGTTACAAAATGTTTAATTTTCGTAAAAGCAACCGCACTTACAGGTTGTAAAACTTCTCCTTTACTTTAGCGAAACTGGAATGTTTTAAAGTATTTGAATAATTACACAATAAATCTTTTTGTGTAATATATTCTGGAATTCTAAGAATCTTTCATTTTTTCCTTTTCTTATTTCCTTCGCGTATAGTAAATCTCGATAAGAGGAAAAAAAATGTTAGAAAAAGAGAATATATAGAAAGGAAACGCGAGACGTTTAATCCGCATGTCACTTCACCGGCAGAGATTTTGTTCGCTCCGAGGAATGAGAAAAAAAAACGGAATCGGGACATGGTTCGGTCGACGTGGTGAGGCACGTCCTGTACCGCTGAGCAGAATGAACTAGAGACGGCTTACTCACGTCCTCGAAGTTTTTTCTCGCGTCCAGGATGTAGCTCTTCTCGTTGACATCGTCGGACGCGGCGTGGGCCATCCCGATCGCGCGATCAGGATCCTCTCGCGATGAAGGCGGATCCTAACTCTATAAACGGGAGAAATGATAGCGCGAAAAAAACGTGCGAAACTTAAAGGGAAGGAACGAGGCTCGCGGGGAGGTCCGTAGACGTCTGAAGTTCCAGCCTATCTTCTGCCCCTTCTTCAGCTTCTCGCTTCTCGTCTTTCCCCGCTGGCTTCCGTTCTCCCTCTCTTACACACCCGATTCGCTCCCCTTAGTCCCTCCGTTCGCTCACGCACGCGCGTACATATATTTTCGCCAATTTCTCTCTTCCTCTCCATCGGCGGGGAGGGGGTCTCTATCGCACCCCGTCATTCTCCCCATTTTTCATCCTCTTTCCTTTTTATTCTCGCGTAAACCGGGAATCGCCCGGTCCCGCGTTCTCCTCGTCTATCCAATGCACACCCACGTATTTGCGCACCCCCTCGCACCCTCCCTTCCGTCCCTCTTCTCATTCATCTATCTCATCCCACCCCCGCAGTCTGCCTGCTTTCTCCCTCCGGTTAATCGGTCGCGTCCTATTTCCTTTCTATCTCCCTTCGTACTTTCCCTTCGTCGAGATATCGGAAGCGCGGGAACGACTGGCAGCCGAGTTTATTGATTTCCTGGCGTATATCTTCCTCGTCGACGATTCCAATCCCAGTTCGGAGCTTTCGTTCTGCGTGCAGGTCTCGTCCTGCGTTTTTGTGCGAGACACGCGAGATACGTGAGCCGCGCGCGCGCGAGCCTCCACACCACAGATCGTTACTATACGCGCGGATGTGTAGCGTATAGGTTCGACACCCCCCGAAGGAGCGGATCCGATGACAGAGATCGGATATTTTCCATAGTATAACAACCTCACCGTTGGTAGGCTATCAATCTTGTAAATTATGATCAAATGAGACGTTCTTCTAAGTTTTTTTTTTTTTTCTAGCAGTAGCGCTCCGTGCAGGCATATATATATATACATATAGACAAAAAAATTTCGAGAACATGTCAGTAAATCTCACGGCAGCTTTCAGAGTTATATTTACAATTCTATATTACATTTTGCACATGTTTGAAACAACAATTGCACATCACAGATTCTCGGGAGAGAATCTGTCGAGAAACTTCCGCAGAGCGTGTAATCAATTGATTGCTCGTTAGTTCGAGACCGCTGTCGAGACAACGTACGAGGATAGTTTTAAGCTCTCTCGGTTACATTTTATATATTTAACATAGGAACAGAAACGAGAGCTGCGAGCTTCGGTCGCTGCCAAGTGTTAACATACACGCTAGCTCCTATCATTTCCAGTATTAATTTCTATGAAAAGATAGCCCGCTGTAACCGCTATCGACATATGTGCATTCCTCCCGTATCTTAAGTCTAACGAGGCGCGTTTCATGCGCTCAATTCCGTTTAAAATATTTTCGACATATATCTCGCGTGAATTTATTCCAGATATCGCATTTAGATTGCTAAATTAGATCGGAAACACTAATATGCTTCAATATATATATATGATTAATGCACTGACTTAACTAAGTGTCTTTATTTTGTTAGACCTATCATTGCAGAGAAATCAAACTCACAGTTAGGCGAGACACAAAATATTTACATGAACAATCACATATTAGCAAAGCGAGAAATTAAAAAAAAAATATTTAATCTCTTGTAACACAATGGGCTAAAAGTAACAAAGACGTGAACTGTATTTTTGACACACGGTTAACTCAACCAGATAGTCGAACATACAATATATATCGTACAATAATGAAAATGTGCAGTATTTCATTATACATTTCGAAATTGAGGCTCGAAAACATCTTCACACTACTGTGCGATGTGCCATGCCCGAGCACGTGAATTAAAATTTAACCATTTCTTATTTTTAAAAAATATTATAGCCTCGACATTTTGGTATCGGGAGTTTCACTTTAAAATGATTGCACGAGTTATTAGCACATATTAATTATTGACAAATATCAAGATAGATCTGTGACACTTTGTACACGACGTACATCATACAAAAATAAAATCTAAATGTAATATAAAGGATGATCCGTGTTCGTCGATTATGCTCGTCGATTATTGCTCGATTCGTGTCTTATTCACAATAAAATTTTTTTGCGATTACATCAAGTATTGATAGTAGCAATAGAAAATACTTTTCACTGGCAGAGAATAGTTTAAATGATGAAATCTGCGTGATAGTTTAAAATCTGCGACAATAGTTTAAATAAAAGCTGCGTGTTATATCACACAATGTACATTTTACATGTCAAAATACAAATGAATGATTTGATAAAATATGAATCGAAAGGACTAGATTGCAATTCAATGTTTAACAATGCCTTCGAGGCTTTGCAATCGAAAAAAAAATCTTCTGTGGCATTCTCAATGGTATTGTAGCGCACTTGCATGTTGCTTGGGACGTTTCGTTCACCATTGTATTAATTAAACTCGCACCGCGCACGAGAATGCGCAGAAGACAAAAAAAATATGACTGTGAGAAAAAGAATCTAACCGGAAGGCGTTACTTTAAAAGTGTATATTTGAAATTGCACTTTTCATGTTTCGAAAAATCGGAAGTCGATTGTATAGTTACGACGCGCGTCGTAGATATGTATATATGTAGCGAGTTCGATAAGACCGGAAACGGAAACAATCTTCCGCTATGGGCGACCACTCTGACTCACGTACCCTCACATGCTTCTATCGGTAGTAAGCGACGCGGCGGTGATTTGCATTCGTGCGAAATTGGGTTGGAATCTTAACGTAATTCCATCCTCGTTGCGTATCATCGACCGGTCAATCGAGATGATTGTGTAACATGGCGTAAGTACACTTTTCGTCCAGACCCTCGGACGCATCATGTCGCAGCCTCTCAAGAAAGCCTCGATGGGTCTTGACGGTGAGGTATCACCACCCAACCGTTGTTTCCGGAAACGGCGGGCCCTATCGTCGACGCGGCAGCGGTCCCCCTCTGTTCCTTCATGATCTGCAATTGCCGCGTCAGGTTGCGACACAGTTTCACCAGAGACTCCTGAAAGTCAATCACGTCAATTGTCACGATAATTGTCGAAACTGAAGAACTTCTTAAAGGATTAAAAAAAAAATTTTTTTTTTAAATTTACATCATCAATGGGTCCTCGTCCACTGGATCCAACGCTGCAAGCGAAAGAAGAATTTGCACAAAAAGCAGAAAGAACAAAAAGAGGAAACCTTTTCATCTTCCAGCTTCCGTAACTCCTGCTGCTGCCGGAGACTGTCGAGGCTCAGATTCTTCAACATCTCGTTCTTGTGCTGGCTCAACAACGCTATCTCCGTTTGGACCTTGAGGTACTCCTCGGCTATCTGCTTGTGCTCCTCGAAGATCTCTCGCGAGAGCTTGCACGTGTCGTCGGGCGTGAGAGGCCTCAGGTCGGCATCCAGTAGGCGACAAACGTTGCCCAAGTCTTCGCTCGTGGTGCTGCTACCTACGGCATCCCAAGATTTTATCACGGACGTTGATAATTGCGAGATTATCATCGTGTCTGACTGCAATAAAATACACATTATTAGAAGTATAGTCCTACAAACGTGCAAGCGTAGCCCTAGGTATATCTTTAGAATATTACAAAATCATTTTTGCACTGGCAAACAAGTCGCTCGCGATGGATTCAAGAACCGGCGTCGAATTGGTTTATCTAAACTAGCGCGCGCCTCCAGTTTCTCGCCTCGTCCGCAAACGCAATTCCTCTCAATTCTAAAATACGCTCTTCGAGCAATTCGTTTCGCCTAGAGAATCCGATGAATTGTGTACTAACGCAGTAGGACCCAGCAGCGTTTGAGAGTGTCGGTACCGACGATCTCCGGGTAGTCGTCGCACATGTCGATCATCCAGCAGCCGCCGCTTTCGCGCGGGCCGCAGTTTCACCTCGACGACGTTAACGTCCACGATTATCCTCCGACAACGCGGCCGATCCTGTCGGCATAGTTCCTTCGTTGGGTTTCTCGCGATCAGATTCGGATCCCCGTCCTGGGGAGTAAGCGCGGCCAGCCTCGGAGAGACGGTGATAGAGTGTCGCCGTGGCGACAGCGATACCAGGAATCTCACCAGGGGACGGCTGAATCCTCGTAATCACGGCGGTGTCGCTAACCGCTTGTTCAGTGGAATGGTCCGGGAATGGCCGTGTTAAAAAGGTATATATATATCAATTCCCGGTCGGATCGATCGATGTGCCCTCGATAAAATCGAGCTCGTATTGCGCGCTTGGCGACCTGCGATCGGCGGGAGGTGCTCCTCCGTAGGGAGTCGGCTCTCTACTAAACAAACGTACGTCTATATTGGGGATGCTGACTCAGCCACACCTGCTTCTAAATACTCCCCACCGCCTCGACTTCGTCGAGGAACGTCGCGGAGCGTATATGCGAGCCAAGAACAAAACGCGCTCCGCGGCTTGATTCATCCTCGAGAGAATCTCATGCCTGATTTTTTTATTCTGCCTTGCCGTTGTCTCTTTGTCATCTTCCTCCTCTTTCTCTCTATCTCATCCACCTCTATCCTTTTGCGCACATACTGCCTTGTCCCCTTCTTCTTCTTTTTTTTTTCCTCAACGTTTCTTCCGCTATTTCCACAATCGTCTCTCCTCCTCGCCGTTTCCCTCGCCGACGCGCGCTGACGCGATAGTCGTCCTCTTCTTCGCCGTCGCAACGTGCCAATCAAAAGCGAGTCACACGTCCTACCGATTAGTCGTCAGTTAAATTTAGTGCACGCGCACATCACGGCTGCTATTGCGGCTACACGGGCCCTTTGCCAGGATACCACCACCGGCGAACTCCGCCGATCGACGAACCCTCGATGAATATAGCATGCCGAGCTCATAACTCGTCCCTTCTCGTCATCCGATCGCGTCTCGGGATTGACCGCAATTAAATTATTTGTACAGCTGTCGTTATATAAAAATATATGCTCCTGAGAAAACTTGTGTTTCTTGCCACATACAGCAACATATATAAATAAATTTTTACAAGCTTCATGCGCAAAGTTTATTTAAGAGTTATTTATGACTAACAAATATATAACAAAATGTGCATACCACACACAGGCTCAAATATAAATACATAGTAATTGAGAAAAATGGAAAAAATTATTGTAATATTAAACGATGCGATTATCCGGATGATCGCATAAAGAGAATAATTTAATCGTAATTATTGCGTTGAGCTAATAATTGCGATGAATCGCATACGTGGAAACGGATTACGAGCGATATGCGTTAGTCGAGACGCAGACGAGAGACGAAGACGCGATCGTGGAATAAGGCGCCCGGTGAGTCAGCGCGCGGTGCTTAGTATTCTATGCCGAAAATAATCTACTTCGTGTACCACAAAGCGCTACTCTGTAAGCTCAAAATGTGTGCCCGTGTCAGCTCGCCTGAGGCATTGTGTCCATTAAAACGTTTCGCGTTATTCGCATTAATCTCTAACTTCGTGCTTTTTTCATAACTATGCCGAAAGATCAGATAATATACTACATAATGATATAATGAATTAATAGTACTAATGATAGGAAATAATAGGAAAAATATCTTTTTTTCTGTTATTGATCGATTATCATATCTCAAATCAAACTTTCTACGATATTTATAATGTAAATATAATAGCATCTTATGTGCCATATGTATTGTAACATTGCATGCATTCTATATGTTGACCGATTTTTAAAATAAATACATTATATATATATATATATATATATATATATAAAACTCGACATTTCAACTTGTTTCACATTTTTGGCACTGAGAGATGACGCAATCTGATTGTATAGTTAACTCCTGCATTTATTGCCGCATAAGGCATAAAACAGATAATTCTTGCGCTAATGTTTCTGGCAATGTGCCTTCAATGCGACAGAGACAGGTCTCGCATAGACAGCCAGTTTGGTGCCACAGCCTCCTTGCGATCTTTTTTCGGCACTTATTCTGAGAAAAGCTCGGGTACGTATTCGAATACAAGACGCCGTGGAATTCTTTCTGCTTATTTATAAATAAATCGAAATTAAAAGCGATCCTATACGATATCACATTTGGGTATCGCGTATAAAAAAAACAATGTCGATTAAATAAGACAAAAAATATACTTTATACAAGTACATTTCAATATAAAAGTTTGTAGCAAAAATGTAATGCATGACAGTTAGAGTTTAATCACGAAGGTTCTAATTTTTCTATTCAGTATTTTTTTTTTTCATAAAATAACTCTATGTTAATTTATAACTCAACTTATGTAGAAATGCATTCGTATAAGCAAACAAAATTCAAAATACAAACACTTACTTTGGTTATTTTTCTTCGTTTTTTGAACCACTTTGTCTAATCCGGCCATGTTATTTGGAATTTCCCAAGATACGTCAGAGGACAACTCCCAAGCATTCTATAACATATTAAAAAAGCAACGTTATAAAAATTATCTTTAATAGAGATAAATACATTTATATACTTTTAATATTATAGATTTAATAATATAAATAAAGATGTGTGAGATATCGAAGAAAAAGTTATATGTAAACTATATTTCGGTATACACTGCCACTATTGAAAATCTATGATATATGTAACATTAATTAGAGATTTTCAATATTTGCAATATCGAAATATGACCATAAAAGATGTATAAAATAGAAATATACAAATAAAATATAAGCGACACTCAAGATACACAGGACAAGAGAATTACCAACCGGATCACACTCCACGTGCAACGGAGCGAGATTGCAGTTTTTGCTTTGCAATGCGGCGAGCTTGTCGTCGTGTCCCGTCGGCGTCATCGCATTTTGCGAAATCGATGATTTAGCGTGTTCTAAATTACTGTCCACACTCCCATTATTCAATACCGGAACCTCGTCGGGTATTCGTTGAAATCCTAAATTATTTTGCCGCGGCGAGAATTTTGTCGACACTTCGCTGACCAGCGCGGTACGAGGTAATGCAAAGGGCGACGAGTTACTTTCATCGAGACATTCGTTGGCGTTTCCTACAGGCTTTGGAATTGTACAAATAGTGCCGTTCGCAACGGAGCCGTTCATACGAAAATCTAACGTACTGACTATATCTAGCGTATCTTCTCTCGATGTTTCGTTTTCGTCTACATCGTCTTCACTACCTGTAGCAGATATATAACATATATGTATATATACGCGTATACATATATACATATGCAAATGGCTTATAACGATATGTATTATGCAATAATCATACATTAAATATATATTATACGTACTTAAGGAATATTCAACAGGTTCTAAATGGCGACTGAAAAATTCTGATAGCTCAGTCATTATCCTTACTACTTCGTCCATAGAAGGTCTTTCTTCAGGTGCTTTCTGCCAACATCTGTCGAGAAAATTAACAAACATAAGCAATAGATTTCATATATTTCAATAAGTGCATATTTTTTTTATAATTGCATAATTTTGAAACAATCATTCACAATTAGAAATCTGTATGAATTGACTGTGTGACAAATAGCAAACTTAGATTAATAGATTAATAGATTAATGCAACACGTTATTAGCCATGGTCTTTTGCATATTTCTTACCTCGTCATAAGATTTTCAATTGGTTTCGGGCATCCTTCTATCAAAGGAGGTCTTTGTCCTACGTGAACAGCCCACATTATCCTATAGGCCGAAGCACCAATATCATCGAAGGGTTTCTTGCGCGCTAAGACCTCCCACAGGATGATACCCCAACTAAATACATCGCACTTCTCTGTATACCTAGATCCCTCAAACACTTCCGGCGCCATCCACGCTGCCGAGCCTTTATTATTAGTCATATAAGTATTTAAGTCACAGGCTGTGCCGAAGTCACAGATTTTAAGCATCTGTCCACCCATAACTAACAACAGATTGGGTGGCTTTAGGTCTCTGCGGGATAAAGTTCCAGTCAAGTTTACCTCTCAATTCAGTTTCTCGAATGTGAAAGGAGCGATCGGGAGAGCGTTGAATGCTTTCTTACCTGTGTATCAGCGGTTTCGGCTTCATATTATGAAGATAGGCGACACCACGCGCGCACTGGAGGGTCCAACTCATAGCGTGACTGGTAGTATAATGTGGTTGAGGATTGCAATGCAGTACTGCGCACACATAAATACGTAAAGGCTTAACATAACTTGTTCAATCTGCGTAACTAGAAGAAAACAATTTCTTCCTAGACATTACCGTTATACAATGATCCACCCTCCGCATATTCCATCACCAGGCACACCGGATTCTTCGTGCACGCGCCGTACAATTTAACAATATTGGGATGGGCGACTCGGGACAGCTGCCGAACTTCCACAGTGAAGGCTTTCCTCTCTCCTTCCGAATTTATGTGTTTCACGGCAACATCCTGCCCTCTCCACTTTCCTTTCCACACAACCCCGAAGGATCCCTTGCCGACTACCTATGTGATCAAGCAAAGACCAAGAATAAATCAGCGAGATTCTCAGCCAGAATGTTGTTTTCATCTTGCATATCAGAACTCTGAGTTTGCATGGCGAAACTTGTATGTTAAAGAAGAGGCGTCATCTGATCTACTCTCTTTTTTATATATATATAAAAATGTAAACGACTTGGAATCATATTCTGATTATCGACTTGATTCAACCGGCAGAATCATCTACAACAAAACTTCCAGCTGTTTCGTCGTTCCTGATCTAATCTTTCTTTCCACGTATCAAACGGCAAGGAATTGACAATTCTATTCACATTGACAGAACGTTACAGGCGCTACTTAAAAAGTTAATCGCAGCTTGGTCGACGAAATCGTCGAAATCATCTTGTATTCCCTTGTGTATGAACGATCGTTTCTCCCTCGTTTTTTGAGGTTATCCTGCCGAGATCGAATGCTCCGTAGGGGGAACGAAAGCGAAACAGGCCTCGGGCTGTGTGAATCAATTGTTCGGGACGACGTTAAACATGTGAGGAGCGTCCGACGAGCGTTCGCGAAGCGCGAATCGAGAAAATGCAAGGGCCGAGAGGAGAAGAACTACCTGCTCCGTTTCGATCTCATTATAATCGATTTCCTCAACGAACTGCTGCTGATGGCCGGTCATCTCTCTGCTCGCCATCGCACACAGTCGACACATTATTTTCTCATTACGTGAGAATAGTCATCGGCATTATTTTCCAGGGCACGTTCGATCAACGTCGCGAGGCGCGCGCGCGCGCGCGAGTGTGTGTGTTTACTCTCTCGAATTGGCTTCAAACAACCTCGCGAATCGCCATTTCCCGTATCGGGCCGAAGGGCACTGCACGGCTAATCTCGTTGGGACGAGCGAAGCGCCACTGCAGGGAACGGAAGTCGTATGTATTCGCGAGTACCGCTCGGCGTTGCCGAGTGAGAACCGTAGGATGGCGCTCGCGGTACGTTACAAATTCGATACAAGTTTTGTAAACGTGATTGAACGTGATCGCGTTTCGATGCGGCTCACGTTCCGTTTAAAAAAAAATTTTAAGCTCTCCTTTAAGATTCGCGCGTTATGTAAGAAATTCGACGTGACACGAATATTTGGAGCGAAAATAAGGTAAGATTGGACGTGTTTCAAGTTTGTCAGATTTAAATCTCGATCAACTGATTTCGGAGTGTGACGCGTATAATGTATAAGCACTACAAACATACTCCGAAAAGATTTTACATTTAGGCCCATTTTCATAATATATGGTTAACGAAAACGTTATGTTAACTAAAACTTGAAAATTAACTAAAACACACTTTCATAAGTTTATACAGTCAAATAAAACTAAAGGTTACGTGTACATTAGTTGAGTTGGCATCAAGTTAACTTGATATATAGTTAAGTCCTAATCAAACGTATTTCTTGGTAATTTTTAACCTTTAGCTGTAACCATACATTGTGAAAATGGGCCTTAGATCACCGACGATATGTATATAGATCAGTACTTATGTATTTTACATACTGTAATTAAACGAATACGTCTGCCAAAAAAAATTTTGAGAATTAATTAATGTGTCTCATCTATATTTATTTTTATCATAACGTGGATTAATTTTAATCTCAGTTTAATTTATTCTTTTTATCTTTTTCTAATTTTTAGAACTAGAAAATGTAGGTTAAATCGCGAGATTAAAGTTAATTTATATTGATAAAAATAATAAACATATTATTTATTGGTTATATGGCGTATAATTAATTGCATATCGAATATAAGAAAACACATTTGGTAGAATAAGAAGTATAACAAAAAAGAAATATAAAAAAATGATAGAGGATAAAAAAATTTGATAATATATAATAAGCTCGTTTTACAGCTAGGTTTAATTTTTCGCATTTTTTTCATAAGTAAAAGAATGTATCATAAAAATACATTTGCTTTTATTAAATAAATTTATTTAAATAGATATATTATACATCTATTTTATACATTATTTATATATATATATATATATATGTATATAAAATCTAAATATATATTTTAAGTAGTATATTAATTTTTTTCTTTAGTTCTTCTGTACATAAACGTAGATGTTAAATTCATCAAAAACATCAATTAATAGTATGTACATAAGATGCTTTATAATTATTTTGACATGAATATGAAATATGTCTCGTAAAATATTTATTTTTCAATTTATTTTAATGAAACGAACATAATATATATGTATACATATATGACATAAATCATCTTCAAATATATACATGTATATATATGGTATGTATATGGAACATATTTAATATTTATTACTAATTCTTATTATTATTATTAATTATTATTCTATTCTCATTTTCAACAATAAGATATGTTTTTTGTATTCGATACAATTTTTATGATATTTCCATTTACGCTCGGTTAATAAAATTAAAATGTCGAGATACAAAAATCGATCAGAGATAAAATCCCGTGTCGTTGCGGCGGGAACGCGACGAAACAATAGGTTCGCGGAACATCGCGCGTTATCCGCAATGCATAATTCCCGATGTGTATGTACCGTTCCGTGTGTCATGCGAATGTATTCGCATGCGAATGTGGCAATACGCGCGCGCACGCGCGCGCACTCGCGTCGTAGAAGGAAAGCGAGAAGGAAACGGCTCTCTTCTTTCGGCCGAACTGAACTAAACTTAACTCGCGCGAGCGCGTGTAATTGCGAGTTAGGGATATGCGGTTGTACGTATATCGGGCTAGATATACGGTGCCTGTGGCCTTTACGCTGACCCATGCTTTCACCCGGTAGCGTCTTCGCCTCTTCGACTCGCTGCGGCGTCCCCGCTGTCCCCCCCCCCGCCCGTCGTAATCCTCGATCGTCTCGTATTCGTCCCCGCTGGGGATCACCTACTTAGCGTGCTTAGTCGTGATGTAATGCGTATGAAAGGACGTTTGCGAATAATGCCGAATCTCGTCTCGAATCTAATTTCTACGAGACCCGTCATCAAGGTGACGCCGACCTCGCGACGGTCTCCCGAGAGAGAAATCCTCTTTGCGGCAGAATAGATTTACTCGCAGAAGCCACTTTTATACCGATAGAAAGAATTTCGTCCTCGAGACTTAATAATAATTTATTGTGTGCAAGATATGACAGTGATAGTTGACGGGATTAGATATAGAAGTATGCTGTGCAAGAGAGTCCGATCGCGGAGATACACGCGAACGATAATTAAGACGTTAGCGACGAGGCTGCTGCTGTGATGTCTGGCAGGAAATTAAAGAAAGAGATAATGAGACGCTCATAATTAAAACAGAATAGAATGTGAACAAAATAGAACACGGGAAATACACGAAAGTTTATAATTGAAAGAAATATTTTAGCTGTATAATAGAATAATATATATAATAACATACAGAGTATAATATAAATATACTTATAGAATATCTAACGGGTAAAAATTTTTTCATATAAAAACATATATAAATATATATAAACATATATAAAAATATATAATTATATATATAATTATATATAATTATATGCGAAATATGTCCATACATATTCATATATGTTTCTTTTCTTTGTAAAATTATTGTTTGATTTTTAATCATTTATATATGATTATACATATATGAGCAATTTTTCTTCAAACTTGATTTTTTGTAAAAAAAAACAATGTAAAAATTATCCTTTTAATTATTTTTTATGTTTCCTTATTATTATCATTTTTTGGAATTAAAGAATAATTTTACAAAGGAAAGAAACATATATAAATATTATATGGACATATTTTGCACATATTATTATTTTGGACATATTATTATATAATTATGTATTTTTATATATGTTTATGTATATTTATATATGTTCTTGTATAATAAATTTTTTACCGGGTAATTAAATATTTCAAATCAGAACGGCGTGCTAGCAAAGGCGTGTCGCATAATCGTAGGCAAAGCGGAGCGCATCGGAGTATAGCGGATTACGCCAAAGTTACATTAGGGTTTGCTAGATTACGGAGATAGATTAGAGACCAGCGTGTGAGTCTGAGAAAGCCAGAATATAAGTATCTCTGCCACACCGACGGACCGTCGTAAGTACACGTTAATTCGACGTTACTCATTATCTCTCGCAATATTTCGTCTCTCTCTCTCTCAAGTAACGCAACCTCTGGTCTGCGGATCGGTTATGAAATCGAATTATTTCGAGACTCGCGATCAATTAATGAAATATCGAGTGAGGATCTAATAAAATGCAAACGAACGCGAGGCGACTCGTGAGCTATACTCTTATATATATATAATAGCGTTGCGGTGCATGCATGTGGTGCAACAGTTGGCTATTTGTTGTTACGTGATTATGCTACTCACGGATGATCACTTTGTCATATCCGCGCGAGATCGGCAGTGCCTTAATTACCACCATTTTTCATTACGGTCATTATGATTCATTCGTGACAGTGATGATCACAGATCGATCAGCAATTAGATACAGATTTCAAAGATTACAACTTACTACAGTGTTATACTTGAACTTAATTAATGCCATCGTAGAAATATATCGTTGTTTCATCGAGAAGGGAAGAAACAATTAGACAGAAAAAAAATGAAAAAAAAAAAAAGATTCGTGAATGATTTATTATTGTTTGATATATTTTAATCGCATCTTTAAGTATACCTAAGAAATGTATCTCTTACTTCGAGAAATATGTTTCTCTTTCTCTGTGTTTCGTCCGTAAATATATATTTCCATTTAAAATGAAATCTGACAATCAAAGCAATCAGAAATTAAATACGGATTTCAAGAATTACAATTCAGATAATGGTCTCTTAATTAACTGCTGTCATAAGAAACACGCGTTTAAAATATATACAATATCGCCTTATGAAAAATGGAAGAAACAAAGCGGAAATTAAAAACGAAGAGAAAATTATTCACAAATTATTAATACATTTCTGATTTAATCGACGATGCATATTAAAGTACAAAATATATGCTTGTATATCTCTTATTTGAGTATGTCAATATGTTATATAAATATGTTCCGTCGAGGGGAGGCGAGCGTATATCTTCCTATCTAAAATACCTTTGTCAGGCTGACGTAACGCATGTTTCGATGTGCGACCAGTCAATGTAATCGCTACGATAATTCGCTACGTTACTTAGGGTTACATCTCCTATACGATTCGATCCCAACGTCGTATCCCGAGAATACCGCGAAAAACGGACGAACGTACCGCGTCGTGTACCTACGTACTAATCTCCCGGCACCTTTCACCGCGCGCGCGTGTCATCACGGTCCATCATATTCGGGAGGATTGTGTGGTGCGGCATATCGCAGCCTCGCGTTCGCTCGTGAATCGCGATCTTAAACGTACATACCCTCGTCGTGAGAGCTCTCGCGGCACGATCCGCGAGCTATAATATCGTGTCCACGACCATCAGGCGACGACGCTCCGTGTATACGCTCGGCTCGGCACGTAGAGCCCCGACGTTAAACAGTGCCCCGGTCTTACGTAAGGAATGCACGCTGGAAAAGCCACGGTTCCACCATGCATACATCGCATAATCGCGGGTTTTTTTTTTCTTCTTACCGTTGCCTCAAACTATGCGCGGAGAATTACCCTCCGTAATGGCGCGCGTAAAGCGCGACCGGCAATTCCGCTTTTCTTATACATTCCATCGCGAAGAGGGAAGCGCGACGGGAGCTTTCCAACTCTAGGATCTCGTACGTGTACGCGATTCTCGATTAACCGAGATCGGGCGACCGCTTATTATTAGCGGCTGTTGCGGCAGCTGAGAGACGTCGCCGCGAGGGGTACAAATAATTGGAATTATTTATCACCGAGACGAACCGAGACAAACGAGATCACGCA